CGGAAAACCGTAATGCCCCCTTTTAAACAACTCCCCCTAAAGAATCATGTATCCGCTCCCCGTAAATTCAATACGCAAAATCCCCCTTAAAACGACGAAGGACGGACGAGTTGCGGAGGGTCCTGGTACCAGCTACCTGGCTGGTACCGGTAGTTCATTATTCTTCATTATGACGTCTACCTACCGGTACCACTGGGACTGGTACACTTATTACCCATGTCTGCGTGCATTTTCAAAAATGTCCCATAGAACTTTTGGCAGACGGGTCACGCATGAAGAACCATTTAGTCGAGTCAACCTAATACAGATTCTTGGGAAAGATCCTATTTTTAATTTATCCTAATGCGTACTAAAAATGCATCCACCTCCCTTTTGTAATAACATGGCCGAAAAATAGCGGTGTGAGTAGAGTGCGAGTACACGTGCACGTATTATATTATGTAGTATTAATACAACGCCAGATCCTATAATCAGCTACCCCCATTTTCTTTGCGCCACTTGGCAAGCTCCTGTTTCAGTCTCTCGTTCTCGAGTTCCATCTCCAGCATTATCTTTTCGTTTTGAAGCTTCAGAAATCGTTTTCGTTCCGCTGGGGATGGTTCCGAAAGCTCCTTCTGTGGAACTGAAACTGATGCCATTGGTGCTGGGGGTACATCATGACCCCCTACACCATGTGCATCTCCCATAGACTCAATGGAAGGGCTGTCATCACCTTTTGGTGATTCTGGCTGTGATTCGACCAACGTGTAACCATCTGTAGATTTGGATTGTTTGGCTTGTGGTTTCTTGGAGCTGCTGTGCCGTCCGTGCTTTCTTTTGGGGGTGGTATCAGCTTTTGGTGCTACTTTCTTCATGCCGTCACCTATAGCTGGAGATTCGGCCTGTGGCGGAACCGACCTATCACCAGACGTAGATTTTGACTTGGATTGCTTGGCGCTCGATCGTTTCTTTGAGCTACTTGGAGGCCGTCCACGTTTCTTTTTGGGAGTGGCAGAAGTTTCTGGTGCCGCTTCGTTAGGTGCATGTCCGCCCAGAGCAGCTGCAAGTTCCATAGAATCGATCGACGGGCAATCTGATACTGTTGCTTCTAAGTTTCCTTCTGCCTTTGACGATTGAGACGACAAATCATCATCTCTTGAATTCGATTTGGATTGTTCGGCGGCTGCCTTGCTGGAGCTATTCGGAGGCCGTCCACGTGGCCGTTTGGCAGTAGCGGCAGTAGTAGCAGCAGCAGCAGCAGTAGGAGTAGTATGCGCTGTTGGTGCTGCTTTCGTCGTGTCACCCAGCGCCAAGCCTGGGGACCCACGATACCCCCCTAATGCAGCTGCAAGTTCCATGGAATCGATCGACGAGCAATCAGACGTTTGGGATCCAATGTTTCCTTCTGCCCGTGAGGCAAATAACGTATCGTCATTTGTAGATTTTGACTTGGGTCTTTTAGCGGGTAGTTTCTTTGAGCTACTCGGAGGGCGCCCACGCTTCAAGTGCCTCTTGGGAGTAGCATAAGAAGTACTATTTGATTTTGGTTTCGACACCTCTGCTTCAGCGTCTGGGCGTCTAGTACTGCTTAAACCAGGATTGCCGGGATGGTCTCTCCCGAGTCGTCGAGGTGGGAATATTTTCTCTCTGGGAGGAGGCCTGTAATCTCCTCGAAAGATCTTTCTGAACTCGGCATCCGACTTCCATTTGCGCCAAATGTCCTTGTAGCTATGAAACATTGTGACACCTTCTTCAGCCGTCATGGTAGTTTCCCCTTCCGCCAAGTAAATATAACTAGAATCCAGCTTGTTGCTTATGCTGCACTTCCAGCCAGCAGGCTTCAAGAAGTACCTGAATATTTCATTTCCGTTTTCTTCTTCTTCCCTTTGAGCAATGAATTCTTCATCCAAGACGACGTTCCTTCCGGGTTGGTCAAGACCACAGCATTCATCGAATTTAGATTCGATAACTTTGTCACCCACCAAAGCTTGGTTCAGTAACCGTCGGGGTGCCTGCTTCTTTCGAGCGCTCCGCCTAGGACTTATTGTCGGCGAAGCAGAGGTGACATCACCATCACCATCACCAACATCACTCATCTGTTGCATTATTTGTGGATCGTCTTGCAAGCTGTCAGAAGAGTCGCTACTACTAGCACTAGCAGTAGATGCTCGTCTAAGTTGTCTGACTGCAGTGCTATTCCCCATTATGGAGAAGACGGTAGAGAGAAGGGGAGTTGGGTGGGGTCGAAACACATATCGATGACGATGATGATATAATGATGATGATGATGATGATGGTGCGGTGGTGTCTGAAATCATTCAGCAACAATACAGTATCTCTGCTTCAATTTCCATATTCATTTCTCTTATTTTCCTTATTTCCCAGTCGCGTTATCGAGAGCATAATTGTGTTTGCGAAACCAAGATCTGCTGGCAGTTCCCATAAGCAAATTTGTACGTTGCGATCTAACAGGCGGATTTTCTCCCAGACGTGCACGTGCCAAGTACAACATCTACGATCATAAAATATATGCTGCTTGCGCGATTGAGAATAACAACGCACAAAAACAAAAGTACTGTAGGTATTATAATTAATATTGTTTCCATTCAACGAAACGAGCTCCACAATAATACACCGAGTATTATCAATCTCCTCCTGCCAAGCAAGAAAACAAGAAAACAAGAAAGCAAGAACACGATGAGCGCACCAGTAGAAACTCTTTCATTGGCCGACTCTTCGGATGATTTGGAAGAAAACCATGGTGAGACCACGTCGTACAGCATTGGAGATTACTTGGGCATCAATGTTGCGGAAGGAGCGTTAGCAGTGATGCCGCCACCATCCGCTCCGACAAGAGATGAAGAGCACAGGAGTGATGGCCGAGATTCAACAATGTCACGACATGGTTATCTTCAATCGCCCACTGATGTTGCAATACCAGTACCCGAGAATGACGCACCAAATTCGCAAACTCCAACCCATGCTGGTACTGTTCCATCGTGGAGTGTGGAGTGTAGCAGCAATGCTACTCGGCATACTCAGAATGATGAGGAAGATGGCATCATAACTGCACATGTGGAATACGTTAAATACAACGCACCAGCACCACCAGGTCGTGATGGCTTTGGAGATGAGGACGAGGAAAAGGACGAGAGAACTGACAGCAAGAGGAGAATGTTCGGTGTTCTTTTTGTTACCTTGTGTGCTATTGGATTAGCCATTGGTTGTGCATTAATATTTTTCAAGTTTAGGTCGACTGGAGAGCTTTCAACAAGCAAGCAAAATGCAATTCCTCGGAGCATCAAAGTACAAAACAGCTTGAAAGACTATACTCCTCTCAATGAAAAAGCATTTGTTTGGCTCGCTAGTACCGACACTTGGGAACCGGACGAAGAAGATCCAAATGGTGACTATCTATGGTTGGAGCGGTATTCGATGGCTGTGTTGTATTTCTCCAACAATGGGCAGAATTGGTCCCAAAACGATAAGTGGCTGTCGTCACAGCCCGTCTGTAGCTGGTACTCTGGAACAGCGAATGAATGCCCGGGACCCATAAAGAGTCTGAGTCTACGTAGGTATTGCGCGCACAATGACACCAACCAGGACTTCATGCATCCTTTCTGACATATTTTCACTTGGATCGCTCATATGCATTGCCCATATGCAACGTCGTGATCTTATAGCTTCCAACAGACTGACAGGTAGCATCCCATCGATGATTGGCAACTTGAGCCAATTGACTCACCTTGAATTGGGTAAGTCAAGGTGCAATCTGAGATCGCCTCACGACAAGAGCGCGCACTCATACCTTTCGGCGCCTTTTCCCTTTTCCCTTGTGACTTTGTGTTTCTGCAATCATCATATGGTCAGAGGACAATGGGCTAACAGGAAGTATTCCAATCTCGATTGGCAACTTGCGCCAATTGGCTCACCTTGAATTGGGTAAGTTACTATACAATCTGAGTCCGTCTCGAGACAATAAGTGCCCGTACTCATACCTTGCGGCGCCTTTTTCTCTTGTGACTTTGTGTTTCTGCAATCATCACATGGTTAGATGACAATAGCTTAACAGGGAGCATTCCAGTTTCGATTGGCAACTTGAGACAGTTGACTCACCTTGAATTGGGTAAGTAGCTGTGCAATCTGAGTTCGCCTCAAGACAATAAGAGCCCGCGCACTCATACCTTGCGGCGCCTTTTCCTCTCTTTCCCTTGTGACCTTGTGACCTTGTGACCTTGTGTTTCTGCAATCACATGTTTATAGATGCCAATGAATTGACAGGAAGTATTCCAATTTCGATCGGCAACTTGAGACAGTTGACGACGCTGCGCTTGTGTAAGTCTCAATTGCAAGAAAGATGACGTGTATCGGGACCGTGGCGCCTTTTCTCATACGATTCCTCACTTTTATGTTTTTGCAACAATGACATGAAATGCTCAGGGTACTGCCATCTACACGGAACCATCCCCTCTCAGATTGGCAACTTGACCCGATTGAAAGTTGTGCAATTGGGTAAGCAATGCTAATGTGGCTTGGCTTCCGGCCACACAAGCGTCATGTTCAATACCAACTCTCATTTCGCGTTTTTGCAATCATCATCATCATCATCATCATCATTCGCTCAGATGGGAATTATTTTACAGGAACCCTGCCCTCATCAATTGGCAACTTGAGGCAGTTGACTGAACTTCGAATAGGTGAGTCATGATTGGACGAGTTTGTACTATTGCACCTTCTTGGCGCCGCCTTCTTCCGTCTCATTTCTCACCTTTTGTGTTTTTGGAACAATCGCATCATGCTTTTATTAAAATATAGGGAAGGATAGTCAATTGAGAGGAAGTCTACCATCTGAGATTGGCAATTTGAGCTTATTGACTGCTATGCAATTTGGTAAGTCCTAATCGTGATTTGCACTAAGACGATATTGAGTCAGTCAACCAACTCTCACACCTAATACTTTGCGTCTCTCTTCTTTCAACATCATCTCAACTTTTATGTTTCCCCAATCATATACATATACTCAGATGGGAATAAATTGACAGGAAGCCTCCCCTCCGAAATTGGCAACTTGAGGCAATTGACTGGACTGTGGTTGTGTAAGTCGTCGGAAAACAAGATGACGTCTTTTTTCTGCAACGTATATTGCTCATTTTATGTTTCTGCAACAATGAAATGCTTAGGGTACTGCCAATTAGACGGAACTATCCCCTCTGAGATTGGAAACTTGACCCGGTTGAATGTTGTGCTATTGGGTAAGCCATGATATTGTGCTGCGGGTCCGTTCGCCAAAAGACAATACATATAGTCAACCCACACTCACACCTTGACGCCTTAATTCTCCTTGTGATTTCTCACTTTTCGCTTTTTCAATCACCATCTGCTCAGATGGAAATAATTTTAGTGGAACCCTGCCCTCTTCGATTGGAAGCTTGAGGCAGTTGACGAAGCTAAAGTTGGGTGAGTCGTGATCGCAGTTTGTTGCCTCAAGACGATGATGTGACAACGTATACCCTCACACATACATTGCCGCCTTATTGTTCCGTTTCATTCCTCAATTTCTGTTTCTGCAATCATCTATGATCAGCCGATAATTCATTGAGCGGAAATATCCCAACCTCGATTAAAAGCCTGACCAAGTTGGTGTCTCTGGACTTGGGTAAGTCACAATCAATCGGAACTGCATAATACTGAACGACTATCGTCGTCATTTTCATAGGAATGCACAGCCACTAACAACACACCCAATAACTTTATTTCGCAGGCAAAAATCGACTGACAGGATCAGTGCCTCCCCTTCCCAGCTCACTCGATACTTGCTCACTATGTAAGTCGTCTCGTCGTGTTGTGAGATCGAATCTTTAGAATGTAAGTCCGTATCACAAACTCATGTTTTGCTGCTTGTACTATATTATTTGGATACGCAGCTCGCAATTGTTTCCGAAATGTTGCCAATTCAAGGGACGCTGGATGCAGCCATACCAACGAGTGTAATAACAACCGGCTATATTAGCGCTGGATAGGCACAATTGGCTGCAGCTTCGCAAAAACGCTCACTCGTGTCGCTCTGCCCCCCCCCCGCCGATTTTTCACAACTGGAAGATGTGAATACATCCTACGTATTGCAACCGTGCGGTTGTTGTCAGTTGTGATAATTCCAGTCGACTGTTATATGCATGGCTCGCTCATCAGCCGCATTCGCTATCAGGGATACGCATCACTTAGTCTCCTCATCTTGGGGCTTTCACAAGTGACTCTATCCTCATTCGGCACGGTTAATTACTTTATGTGTTCACCTCGCTCCATACAATATATATTGAATATTGAATATGTGTAATACTGTAATACATTATATGGTCGTATGAGTCGCAAACTTAAACTGAAATGCCTTCCCCGCGCCGCCGCCCGCTTCCAAGCGGGCAATGACCGCAAGAGGAAAATTCAAAAAATCCAGGAAGAAACGATGATCGTATGATGAGAATAACCGCGTAAACTTCAATATTCGTCATGGGTTGCGGTAGCAGTAAACCAAGTAACAGTGCTGTGGTTCAGGCACAGATAGATTCTGGTGAATATGATGCCAAAGACTATGAAGATCGTAAGCAAATGCGAAATTAAATAAATAAGCAGAGTGTCGGGTTGAGTTATTGCTTGATGCTTGATGCTTGATATCACTTTCACCATCGTTCGATCTCACGGCTCACCGCTCTCTCTCTCTCTCTCTCTCTCTTTGTCCATTCATTGCAGTCATCTACTTGGCCAACAAACGTGAAATCAAGGTCACCATTCAAACAAGTACCAAGGCTGGTAAGTGGTCATTATTATTGTAATGATATGAGCTTCTTGATTGTTTGTATTTATTCTCAATCATATTCACTCATCCACTCACCCATTCATCCACTCACCCATTCACCCATTCACCCATTCACTCACTCGATCTTGTTCATTCTGCAGGACTTGCGGCTGGACTGTCAGTCATGGCCGGAACCTTGGTGGCTGGACCCGTCGGTGCCGCGGTGGGTGGAGCCGTAGGAACCGCCATGGCCGTCGGCATGAGCCGAAACGTGGTGGGATTGAACAAACTGTTGCAAGACACACCTCCCAAGAAACGTGGTCAAATCATTCAGTGCTTCACCGAATCCTTCAAGGAGGAATTTATGGACACAATCAATGGTAGTCCAGAATTGAAACTGCTCCTGCGTGGTGGTAGTCCCATTGGTGTGGTTCGTTACATGGTAGAGAAGGATATTATTCAAAACGACCAAGCGAAACGATTGGACGGTATCTTGGCCAAGGTTACTTGAGCTTAGTGAGAGTGGTTGTCAAGATATTTGTATAGAAGGAAATAAGATAATGGAGAAGATAGAGTGTGTATTGTTGAAATTGAAATTATAATTGTGCTGTAAGCGTGGTCTTGTGATGATGATACGCACCGCATGGGTTCCAACTATTCGTACTGCATGGTCTCAACGCAGTTGATTTCGATGTCACTGCATATACATGCGGTGGCTTCATCACGTTCTTGGTCCCTGAAGAATGATATAGCTAGCTGCATGCCTATGTGTGAATATCCTAGACTGATTCTACCATATTTTTAATTTATATTTACTGACTACCGGTATGTTTACTGACTATACATATCAAAGGTGGACAGATGGAGACGCATAAAAGTTTGTGATGTTCTCCTTCGAAAACCCACTTTCGATGAGCATCTCTCGGACGCTGTCGTCAAATCCAGGGCTGCCACAGAGATAAGCCTTCATCGCCTTGCTGTTGTTATTGTCTGGATCCTCATCGGCGACCGGGTTGTGATGGAACAACATTCTGCTGCTCTTGTTGTTCTCTTGTTTGGCCTCACGGTCTACTTCGGCTTGAGCTGCTTTTGTGATCCTGGAAACTACATCTTGATTAAATTTCAATGTCATGCATTTGTTTCCGTGGACACGCCAAAAGACGTCATTCACAATGTCCGCATCAAAGCCGACATCCTCCGCCTCATTATAATCCGCTGCGCTGGTGGAGTCATCTTCCCGTCTGCTAGAGTCATCAAGCGTGCTTTCATCCTCCAGTCGGTGCATAAAGCCAATCGCGTCGCCCTGCATTTCCGAAAGCCTTCCTCCGCTGTTGCCTTGACCCGCACGGAACATGCGAAGTTGCCGTTTGTCGTCAAAACTCTTTCGTTGCAACAACTTGCGACTTGTGCGGGGAGATTTACTGGGGGTCGTGGGAATGTCCTCTTTCTCAGTTTTCTCAGTTACTTCCAAGGCACCTTCCTGCTTTTCCTTTGACTTCCCCTTTCGAACTTCCTTCTTGGTCTTCTTGTCCGTTTTTACGTTAGTGGTCGACGAGTACAGGACAACCCACTTGAACTTGGACTTGTTGTGCTTCGTGGCAGCCTTGACTCGTTTTTCCAAACCAATCCATTCATTATAGTTTTGAATTGGGTTCTTCAATATCCATACCAAGAAAAGGTAAGGGGAGTGACGAAGTTTCTTGGGTGCTGTGTAAAAGTCAATCATCTGAATCATGGGAGCCTATACATATACCGGTATAGGTAAGCGGGAAGATCGCGAAGTAGCAGCGTAAATAAAGTCGTGAGCCAATCAAATGATCTGATGGTCGGGCGAATTCCAATATATTCCACTACGGGCATTGAGTATAGGTACTTACAATTCCAGTTCCAGCAGCAAACATGACAACAGGTTGGGAACTCGCATTGGAGTCAATCGAATGCAATGCCACAGGGTTGATACTGGGACCAAGGATTGGAATGGTCTTTCCGACTTTCCAAGCCATGCAAGCTCTAGTAATCTGACCACCAGGACGAAGACTGATAAAGAACTTTAGAAGCTCCTCATCTTCAGTCAAGTTAAAGTTGTTGCTTTCCATCACCGGACCATCGTTCAGATTGACCGGGGTATAATAAGCTTCAAAGCTTGTTCCCCAAGGATTCATGACTCGGAATCTGTAGGCAGAGGTTGGAACAATGAGATCTCTTGATTCGAGGTCACGACGCTTTGGTGCGGCGAGGTAAAGCAAAACCACAGGCTTATTTTCTTGGGTGATCTCATTGCTTGGCGTGACAAAGGTTGTTTTGACAATTCGTGCTCGGCGAAACACTTGGGACAGAGTCTTCGATCTGTCGAAATGAAACGACGAAGATCCACCATCTGAACTACTCTCAACGTCCGACGATGTTATCTTCCGAAGAGCACCAGTTCGCTTCATGTTTTTGGACGCCTGAAGAAACTTGGGCAATGGAGGAACCTTGTCATCTTCTTCATCGACCAAGATACCAACGATCAAAGATCTCATTTTCTGCACTGCAGTATACGAATGTGTGTGTCTGTCGCATAGAATAGTAGTATCAACAGAGAAATACATCACAGTGGTGAGATAACGGGCTGCATATACTCGCTAGCGCTAATATCGATGCGACAGTGTAGAAATATATGCGACTCACCTAAATCCTTCAATGGCTCGCAATCCCTTGACTTCATCTGTGATCTCAGTACCGCCAACGTTCTCCAGCATGTCACTGCCCCCGGGGTGATGTTCCAGGAATCCAGTAAGATCCAATACTCGACCATCGACGATACAGAGAGGACTTCCGAGTTTGACTAGCTCTAAGAACTTGTCCATTCCCATCTCATCGTACTCCTTTGGATCATCCGTTTCACTGTCCCAGATGGTTTTGGCAGTTTGATTCCGCATCTTGTGATTGAGGATCCGCTTGCGAATCTCGGCCAAAACATAAATGATACAAACACATGACAAGTATGGCCAGTACAAGGAATTCTTGATGTAACCAAAGATGGGGACGTTGTATCCGATACTGTAGGAGGATAGCACGATCAATTGGAAGAATGAATCGGCAGGAGAGATACGAACCAGACCTGCAAACATGATTCATGTGTGAGAATACCGTGCATATTAGCTCATCGCTCAGCCAACAATGTAGGACTAGTACCAATCGACACACACAATTACTTACCTGTATAACAATTCCACCAACTAAAGATCAAGATTCCGTACCCAAAAAACTTGTGAAAGATCAAAGCATAATGAGCCGTCTTGCGTCCCACTTGTTGTCCTTGCAGTTTGGAATACCGAATCTTTCCTGCCACGAACATGGGAAGGATGAGCAGTGTCAAGATAAGGCCAATCGTTGAGTGCTCTGCTGTCTTATCCGAAGACGCTCCAACCGCACTCTCCACACCGACAATAATGGGAATCGTCAAACCACCCACGGCTCCCATGATGGAGATATGAGCCGCCAAACGCCAGGACTTAGTTTTCATGTATCGAACTATGTAAATTCCAATGGGCGCCATGATCATCCAAAAGACCAACATTGTGATTCCATGATAGGCAATCATTCCAGTGTCGGCCACTCCATCTTCGGCCGCCGTCATGATTCCAGCCTTGAGGTCGACCACTGTCGATGTTCTTCGTTGGAATCCATGAGGACGGTTCTGGTCGTTTGGATTGAAGGAAACAATCATGTCAATGGACCCATCTGGATTGGATGCAATGTCAAAGCAACCCGTCTTGATACCACCATCAATATTGTCATTGTCATTGCCATCACAGACCAATGCTTTAATGGTAACGGAGGATTCTGCAGGTGACAAGCACCAATTAACCACATCCAAGTCATAGTGACGCGAATCCTCGGGACTCAAACAAGAAGGCTTGACATTGGCCCCACTGGCCACGCAACATTGGAACATATCGGGTGTTGTTTGTCGGTCGTCACAATTGGGTGTAAATCCTTGTCCAAAGAGACTTGGATTAACAGTACAGAACCAAATTTCGGCTCCTGCCATTTTTCGCGACCTCCATCCAATGCCCAAGTACCCCGCTCCTTCCATTGGTGTATTGGCTGTGAGTGTCAATTCAATGATACTCTCCATTGCCTCGTCGGTAATCTTCTTGTTGGCATTCTTTGGGTCCATCAGCGGTCGATCGATGACCCATTTCATGGACATGTCTCCACTGTATAATAATAATAGTAAGTAAAGCGAGAGACAGTGTTAGACCCAATTTCATTCATCTAGTTCAATTTCGCACTCTATTTTCAGATGTATATATACTCACCCCAACAATCCCACTTGATTCCTGGATTCTCCTTTACAATTGCCTTGTCCAGCACCACTTCCATTGCTTCCATTATCTTCATAACCATAGACACGAAAGAATGTTTCTGGAAACTTGTCCATGCCGGTACAGACCAACTTGATGACATCTGTCAAGGAGGGAAGGTCCATGATTTCTTGTTCGGTAAAAGTATTCTCATACCAGAATCGATCTCCGGAACGAATCCGATGAATCTGGTCTCGCGTCGAATCCGTCAGAGATGGTCCAAAGAGCCCATCGGAAATGATTGGTTTTTCAAAGAGCGTGGCGACGTAGGAATCCACCTTTTCAACATCTCCTTGATACAGATTTTCCATGACACGTACCAATTCGTCATTGTCGTACCCCCCTTCGTCCACCACCAATTCGCGAATTGACCCTATAGGTGCTAAACCAGTGTTGCGGCGAGCTTGATTGTAGGGCGGAATACCAACATCTCTGGCACGTTGGACATCGACCATACTAGTAGCCTTGCTGTAAAAGTTCAAGTCGTCTTCAAAGTAATAATCAAATGGCTTGGTCGGTACCGTCGTTGCCCCGCGCAAAACGTCTTCAATGCCACCCGCGCGTTCAATGATCTTTTGTGGATTCCCATGATAGGCCGACCGCATAAAGATGGGGTCTTGGGAAGTGGGCAAAAAGTCTGGATCGACCAATCGGACAATGTCGGGTTGTTCGGAATGTCCATAGCGATAGGTGACGGCACCAAAGTACTCATCAATGGATGGATCCAAACTTGGATCGTATCCTTGATAGGGGCCCATGGAATCTCCGAGTAGAGCAGGAATGTATTTGGTCACGGCATTTTTTTGATAGGTGGCAATGACATAGTTCCTTGCCGCTTGAAAGATTTCTTCGTCATTCATGTCGTCATGTTCTTCACTAATAATCTTGGCCACGTAATTGTGCAATCGCATCCACAATACATGCAATGCATAAGCTCCTGGAACAATGCTAAAACAGGAACGAAGATATGGTTCTCTAGGCAACAATCCATTGCCATTGTCCACCAAATCAAAGAAGCCACCTTGCATAGTCCGAATGTCAATATTTTGTTGTTCGGTAGTCCCATAGATGCATCCCAAATCCATCCAGGCAGTTCCCTTGTTGCTCGTGGCACGGACTGGTTCGCCTTGTGGCGTTTGCAGCAATTGATGATTGTATCTAGGAAAAGACTTGGCATATCCTTCCGTAGCATCAAACTTACCCGTGACGGGACAAAAGACTCCATCGGTAAAGTTTCCATCGCCGGTCATGTCAAAGGGTTCGCTGGCGTTGCTGCCCGTGGCTCCGAGAATGTCGCTGCTAATAATCATGCCAAACAATAGCTTTAAATCGTTGGTGGAAGTGCTAGCCTTCTTTTGTTTCATTGCGGGAAACCGAAAGAGTTCTTCCATGACGCGACGAGCGCTGGGAAGATCGTCGTTGAATTCATCGCGAGGAACACCAGGCAGCTCTTTGAAGCCATCCATGGATGGTACTATGCGCACACGAGGACTTCCAGCGGTGCCCCACGTTGGATTTTGCTCATTGTTGCCACTGCCATCGTATTCGTATTTGTGTGTTTTGATTGGAATTTTGGATAATTGGGGCTGTTGTTGTTGCTGCTGCTGGGCTTGTACTGTTGTTGTTACAGTTGTTGCTAGTAAAGCTATTAATAGCATCAACACCACCATCATCTTTGTTATTCACCACGTGCAGTATATCCACGACAACACAATGTAAGAAGATTTTTAAGAAAAAGAAGAAAAACGAAACTTCGAAAAACGCCGCACACAGCGTTTTGAGCAAGCAGATTGCAAAACGCGCTTTTCGGGTTCTTACGATTTTCGGTTAATTAACGCATTTGGGGCTCACAATCATTGGTGTTAAAAGTCGGTCTTTTGGCCATGTCGCAACGTGAATCTTTTCACTTTTAGTACAAGTTCTCGGAGTCTATCGCTTCTAAATGTTGATTCGCGTGTTATTTATATTTAAAAAAGCGAAAAGATTTTAAGTGGACTACTGTAGTTTCAAGACTAAATGTACAGGATACGTGTACCTCCACTACTTGTAGTGGTAGCGGTACTACGGTACTGATCTCACTCCTCCTCGCAAGAGTATTCTCTTGCAAAAAGGGATAAGTCAGTCAGTCAGTCAGTCAGTCAGTCAGTCAGTCAGTCAGTCAGTCAGTCGCCAAGCGATACATACGGTACACGTGTACCGGTGAAGAAGTACATGGAATGAAATTGAATCAATCATCACCCCAAACACTGTATGCATTCATGGTGTTGCAGCACATCGATCATGGAGACTGGTGCTCCTCCTAGGCCAAGCGCAGGCCGCAGTGGTGGTGAGTTGTATCTATCTTGTATCTTTTTTATGTACGTGTATTTTGCCAACAATTGCGCAATCATAAACTACAAAGGATCACTGTCAAGTGTCGCCGAGACAAACGAAATCAAATAAATACTCCGGGAGACGGTGGGTCGAATTGTTCGGGGAGCCAACATCTCTGGACAGAACATTCCAGAGTTTCCAATTTCAGTCCACTTCTTCAATTCGGGATGGTATCCAAAAATTTATTCGAGTGTGCGAATACGAGAATATGCGCATATAATACAACAAATTGAAAAATGTGGCATGATTTTTATTATTTTGACTTGACTTTCCCACTACCATTGCACCAAGAGCACCAATTCTATTCGACAACTGTTTGGTCGACAATCATGCGAGATGACATAGCAAAACTGGCGAATTGTTGTTCAAGAAGCCGCCGCCCTCGGGCTCCAGAGAACAATTCCTACTATTGTTGGCTGCCTTCCCTTTGGCCTCCTTGCACAGCAGGAGTGGTGATGGCACGGCGCCACGAGGATGAACGAGAACCAGCTTCGGCGATCATTCGGTTGGCAATGGCTTGCATATATAGCACTCTGATTTTGATCACCTTGTTTCCTTTGTCATTCATTCAAGAAATCCAGTCGACCACCCTGCATCATCCTGATGAGCCACCAAGAAAAGAACCAAGAAGACAATTCATTTTTTAGTGTACTAGTACCATTCGGGTCAGGCACGAGTGCAAGTCGACTCGACCATTTGTGAATAAAAAAGCAGCAGCAAGAATCGAAATGACCAAGCAACGACGATGGGGATCTGGTTTTCCGCACCGGGATCCATAGTCAAATCAGCCATGTATACATTTCTGGGATCAACAACGACGTACTACTACTACTATGCTCCTTCCGAACTAAAGATCCGCTCCATATAGTGATGTTTCCGCAACCAACGGCTTCTGCTTGTTGGCTGTATGCAGTGAAGTGGGTTGCTGAAGTGCTATGGTGGTGCTCATAGCATCTGCCCTGCCTCGTCCATCAAGTTGAACTCGTCAATACCGGCAGAACGGAAAGGAAGGCAAAACAGGAAGGGAGTTTAAAGTAAGCCATCTGGTTTACTGGAAATAGCCACGTTCTTATTGTTGGCAGCTGTTGTGATAGCGCGTGCTTCTTCCGCTGGGGTTGTAATTTCAATTCGCAACGGCGCAAGCAAGAAGGCGAAAACTGGGCAAGATTAAAAACATGCGTAGAACAGCAAGGGAATCTAGAAAGCAAGCCAAACACACGGTTGCTGCTGTTACTGTGGTGCGGTCACAACCGTGTTTTTCATCACCTGATACCGGTTTTGTCAATTGAGTGTTCACGGTTGACCACGTTTCCTCTCAAGAGAACCGACAAACAATAAATCCAGAGAAAAATTAAATTAATCTACTTAAGGAGAAGGCGACGAAGGCAAGAAGCCATTCTTTGGAAGCGCCACAAAAGATCCATGGCTTGTTCTGCTTTCCACAAATTTCTAGATTCATGTCACAATTTTAAAAATATACCTCTGCAAACAGCAACCCAAAAGTTTGATCTTGATGCCTCAGAATACCTCGACAATGAACAACTGCAACTGCTCGAGGAGAAGGCAGAGACAAGTTCGATTTGCTTCTCAAGAACAGTGCCTAGAAACAATTTCTCGGTCCCAACTAACGAGGAATGAGTCTGCCGCAGCATGGTATTCTCGAAATGAACGAATACAGGTCATCCAGAATTGCGCGAGACTGGTAGAAAGAAGGCAGTCGGGCAAGAAACCAAAGCGAAACAACTCGTATCGGGGTTTGGAGACCTTTCATGAGCTCGATTTCCAAGAGCTCCGACAACACGTTGATGCTTGTGTTTATGCCGTTATACTCGAGCAGCACCGACAAGCGGTGGAATGCAGATTTGACAGTGACTCGCTTGCAAAAGCATCTTTGCTGCATTCCAATGGCAGCAGCAAACTCGCGCTGGTCCGTGCAAAGAACGACGAGTGCGAAGCCAAGCAAATATTATGCAAAACATGTGAAATGGAAGACGAAGAAGATAGCGAAAGCCAGTCAATGGTATCTCCTGTCCAACTTTCGGAATCGTCTTCAAGTTGTATACACCAAGATCTTGAGGAACTTGGCAAAGTCGTCCTTGTCATATAACAGCACATTGCGGAGGAGATGAATGAACGAATCAATTAATGGCATCATGATCCTCATCTGCTACATTTTGTTAGCCATAGCCTATGCTCAATTCTAACTTCAAACTATAACGCCGATACTAATCACAAACTCTCATTGACTCTTTTATCCTGGTACAGAGCTCCGGCGGCGACGGATGGGCTTTCAGATGTATAGCCAAATCGTCCCGAACAGCCAGAATGCAGGCGGGTTGATCAGAAATGATGATTGGTCCAACCACTATATGCCCACCAATCAACAACAACAAAGCTCATTGACGAAGCCTTGGCTGGCATCACGTAATACCTGAAATCCGACTTCCCTTCTTCCAACAAGGTTACTATGATCCATGGGGTAGACAACCAGGGTTATTTATGCACGACTTATTTCCTGCTCGAGTTTCAGGAGAGGAAGACACCTCCCCGCTTTCTCCTTTCACCGCATCGTTGCAAGAATGTACATGTGTAGAGCAATGAACAGCATTGTATATGCCAACAATTGCGCCATCATGAACTCAATATCTTGTAGACGATCGATCAGCGCAAATTTTCTCACCGTGTAGTCGTATTATTCGGGTATTGCACCATGCGATCCAAAATGCGTCTAGATACGAGATATAGTCGTACCAGAACTTTACCTGGGACCCGTACAGATTTGGAAATAGCTGGAAGTACTGTAATATATAGTACCACTCGTGCTATAGAAAGAGTTTCGATTCCTGTTTGCTTGTTGATACTCTCGAAAGATTTTGTGACTGTCACCTACTACTAGAAGTGCTAACGACTGAGGAGCCCGGAATGATAACAAAATAGCATGAATTAGTATTATGAATCAGCCATGATGCTGTACCTCCTCTTGTTTCTGCTCGCTGGATGCATTCTTGGTATCATCATAGAACTGGGAAAGAGGAGAATACTATCTACAGCACTTGGCGGCAAAGAAGGAATACAGCATCATAAGTGAGTGACAGCGGTTTGATCATCCACCCACAGCTACCACCACTACTAGTATACCGGTGCAACAGCGGCCGTACTATACCACCAAGCCAATATACTACTCCTTCGCACTACTTCTTTCTTGGCATGATGAGGATTGTTATTCGTGAAGCCAGCCAGAGGATTCCATCGCAGCCATCAATGAACGAAATGTGGTTCATTGATAGTATTTTGATTGGTAGTAATGACTAATACTGTAGTAGTATGGATTATAGCGGCAACCGCCACCAACTGCTTGATGATGGTATGGAGACTATATGGAGTCTTCAGAACACGAGCAATGTATCAGCAGCACCAGCCACCTTCAGCACTCGTCCATAGCCTAATAGTATCTAGTGTAATGTAATATCTTGCTGGAAACGAAGAGATATTAGCCACTGGTCGTACATGGTTAGTTTGGATAGTATAATGATCATTGTACCTACCGGTATGCTGCGATTGGTTGTACACGAACACGATATGGATTGGATTGGACTTCTTAGTGCTTCCGAGTACCGGTATCTTCGGTACAATGCCGGTACTGAAAGGCCGTTCATGTGTGTTTGTGTGTCCATAGCAATCCAACCAAGGTTCCACCTACAGCAATGTAGTTGCTACTATACTCACAATAATCATGATGATGTTTAATCACCCATTTCCCGCTACCAATTGCGGCATTGGAAGACTTTCGCGAAACGGCTAATCGATGATTACAAGCTTTGTTGAGAGGAGAGAGAAGTACTATACTCCGTACTCCGTACTCCCATAATATACCTTCTTTTTTAACTTGCTCACATGGTTGGCGGAACAAACAAGGCATTACCCCTACCTTCTCACGGGATCTTTTATTCCCTACGGTATTATTCAACGACCTTTCAACATTGAAAATTATAATAAAATGAATCATGTTGACTAATCGCTGATTTCGCGACACCATCGTCCTCGCATGAAGTTTGGTTGCAAGTTTTCTTTTTTCTCAATATTTTATTCGATGTCGAACACTTGCGAAGCCAGAGCTCGCAGAATCTCGAACATGTGGCAGGCTATGATTGGATGAAGAGGAAACGCTAATTGATACTTCTTTCTAGAAAGAAATGAAAAGTATCACGCAACCGAAGGATCTGACGTCAACCAACTTCAAACTGGACCCCCCGCAACTCGTCTATCGACCGACCGTTTCGGAATTTCACATCTCCGACTTCTTTGACTACTAAATAGTTTTCAATACACCCCTGGGCCGGGGCATTGTTGTAGCAAAATATTGTTTTT